TGGACAGAGGCTGCTGTGTGGTTGCAGCCCCTCCCAGACAGGGGTTGCTGCCACTGGAGCAGTTCTGTCCTTGGTAAGTCTGGGTCTGCTGTGGACAGAGGCTGGTCCCTAGAAGTACCCCCTGTCCTTGTGGGCTCCTAGCCCTCCACAGACGGAGGCTGCTGCTGCCCTGCACTGCTGCGTCTGATACAGGGGCAGCAGCGAGGGGCAACAGGCAACCAGTTTGTGAGGGGGAGCTGGCTTCTAAACTGGCTCCCCTCATGAACTGGTTCCCAACTGGCACCCCGTGCTGCTGCCTATGATAAAGAGTCAGCAGTGCAGGGTGGCAGAGGCCTCTTCGGGAGTGGTGCTGGAGCACATTGGCTGCCAGCTCCGCCCCTGGGGCTATCAGTCAACTAACTGCTAAAAATTCATATGGTTAGTCAACTATTCAGTTAACAGATAGCTAACATCCCTACTTCTAAAAATGGACAAGGATGAAATATGTGCTGCTTCTTTTAGAGCTGATGCCTTAAACCAGTGGTCTCCAACCCTTTTAACCGCAAGATCACTTTTTCAATTTAAGTGTAATGTAAGATCTCCCTCGAATCCAAATACCCTCCCCCCCCCCTTCCTTCCTGCCCATTCTTTGAAGTCCTTCCCCTTCTCCACCCCTTCTTCAAGGCCTCACCCTGCTCACTCCATCTCCCTTCCTCTCCCATCCTCACTCACTTTAACCAGGCTGGGGTAGGAAGTTGGGGTGCAGTCTCTAGCCTTGGGCCATGGGGTTTGGAGTGTGGGAGAGGCTTTGGGCTTAGCCAGGATGGGGGATTTAGGTCCAGGAAGGGGTTCATGGTGCAAGCTCTAAGAAGCAGTTTTGGTGCAGGGGGACTCACGTATGGGACAGGAGGTTGGGTGTAGGAAGAGGTTCAGGATGCAGGTTCTGGCTAGGCACCATTTAACTGAGACTGCTTCCAGGTGGTTGAGCAGTGGAGTTAAGGCAGGCTTACTCCTGCCATGGCCCTGTACCACTCCTGAAAGCAGCTGGCATCTACAGCAGTGGCTCTATGGTGCCTTGTGCTGCCCCTCATCTACAATCACTGAGACCACAGTTTCTACTGGCCACGGTTCCCCATTATGGATCAGTGGGAGCTGCAGGAGTGGTATCTGCAGGTAAGGACAGCAAGTGGAGACCCCCTGCTCTGCCTCTCAAGGGCTTCAGGGACATGTCAGCCACTTCCAGGAGCAGCAATTACCATAGGGATAATTACTCCAATCACGATAGGTTAGGCATTTTAGAACTCTACTCAAAGAATTAAATCTAATATATAAAGGAGAACGTTTGTATGTTTGTGCTCTAATAACTAGTACACTAGAAGACCTACCGCAACCAAACTTTCCATGGGATAACCTTTCCTCCAGGAGAAGGTTTTAAGGTACTGTGGGAGGGAAGAGATGAGAAACCAACTCCTCTCCCCACTCCACGGAGCTTGGCAGTGCGTGGAGAAGTGGCTTCCCTGCCATCGCTGGACGCATATGGAGGCCCGTCTTCAATACTGGGAGACCTAAGCTGACCCCGGGCTCAACTGCCCCTTTAAAATGCTGCCTTCATGAATTTCAAAGGGCCAGCTGCTATGGAGCCCGGAGTCAGCTGGGTCAGCTGACCCCAGGCTCCCAGAAGCATTTCCCCACAACCTGGAATCAGCTGGGGAGTCCCCAGCTTACCCCCGGCTCCTAGTAGCATGCTGTGTAGCATGGATCCTGCACTCCATGGCTTTGAAATGCACAAGAGTCCCCGCTGCACACCATGTGCAGCCAGGAGTAAGCGGGACACACCGCGGGCCCTGGGCTGTATGCAGCGTTCCGCATTCCTCCTTTGAAATGTATAAGAACCTCAACAGGGGAGCTCTTGTACATTTCAAAGGATTTGTAGACAGGCACTTCCACATTCCTCAATTAACCGCATTTTAACACCCTTAGATTGTGGCCCCCTGGGAAAGGAGAGGAAGGACTAAGATATGGGGCTATTACACATGGGAGTTGGAGGCCTCATGTTACAAGGACTCTTCTTAGAAAGAATGCATAGATTATTTCTAGGGACTTTGTGAAGCATGATTATTCTGTTGACTGCATGGCAGGCCAACATTTATATCCTGCTATAGTCTGCATGTTTTTGGAAGGCTCTTTGATCTTTTAAGTGTTTTTAAAACTGGTTTTCAACCAGAGGTACTGGTACTCTTAAAGGTATGCAAAGGTCTTCCAGGAGGGTACATCCTGTCACCTAGATCTTCGCCTACTTGTACAATAGAGTACATAAAAAGCAATAACAAAGTCTGTACAAACTAAAATTTCATAGCAACTTGTTTTTACTGTTCTGTACCCTGAAGTTTAAGTACAATATTTATGTTCCGGTTAATTTATTTTATAATTATATGGTAAAAATATTGGAAAATTACTTGTTTTCTCAATAGTATGCTGTGACACTTGTATTTTTGTCTGATTTTGTAAGCAAGTAATTTTTGTAAATGAAGTGAAATTTGCAGGTACACAAAACAAATCAGACTCCTGAAAGAGATACAGTTGTCTGAAAAGGTTGAGATCTACTATTTTAAGGTTAGAATCTTTAGTTGAAAATTAGTTATGTTTGCTTACTAGAATTGCTTTTATGGTATTTGTGTTTTATAGACATATGAAGGAGCTGCTAAGGTAGAGAGACAAGCATACAAAGAAGAGCTGGCCTTATACAAAGCACAGTTAAGCCCAACTCAGGTAGTAGCTTTGAAAGAAGAAAGGAGACGAAAACTGGCAAAAAAAAAAGCAATGAGGAAAAAGAGGGTAAGTATTTAAAATGTTATTTCATTTTCCCTTTTAAGATTACTTAAATGTATTAATCTGGTTATTTCTGATTGTTTTTAAACATGAAGCATGAATGCAAAGATAGCAATGCTGTTAGGTTAAAATCATACTTACATTTATTATTTAATTTGTTTCTCACTATTGTTAACTTTTTTCCATACTTAACTGAGACCATGGAAAATAGACCAGCCCAGTTTCACTTTCTGATGCATGGGACTGAGCACAGTCCTGCAATATTAGGTGGCATTTGCTGCAAGCCAATTATTTAACCTGATGAGCTGCAGCCTGAAACAGTCCCCTCAGCCAAGGGTCAAGATTGCAGATAATTCCATCAAAAAGAACCAAATAACAGAGACTAGATCACAAGTGCTTCACTACAGTTTATTTCCCATATGAATGGTGTTTTGGAGGAGGCCTGTCAGATGGAAGCAGCAATACAGATCTATAATTGGAAGAGGCATCCTGGGAATAGCTTTCCATGAGGATCCAGTCTACTCGTCCCCCATTTTGGCAGTTCCAGGATGTCATCCAGTTGATCATTTTAGTCACCAACACACATACTAGACAGATTTAGTAAGCTTGGCACTTAGTATCAGAGTAAGAACTCCAAAATTAAGAAATATTCTCCTTCCACTATTTCATCTTCCCCTGAAGAAGGGGAATTTTTGGACTTAAAGCCACAAGTAATGGAAGAAACAACTCAGGAAAAGCTCCTTGAAGCAGACTGTTTTGATCTAATGCTGTGGTTCCCAACCTGTGGTCCGCGGACCCCTCGTGGTCTGTGACGGTACTATGGGGGATCTGTGGAAAGTTGAAAAATAAGGGTTGGTTCTTTTTTTTCTTTTTCTTTTTTTTTTCACTCAGGGAGTGGGGTCTGTGAAATGTTATAGATTGAAAAGGGGTCCATATGCTCAAAAAGGCTGGCAACCACTTATCTAGTACTTTGCCATGATGTTACCTCACAGTATGAGTCCATAACCTGTCCAAAAAGGACTCAACAAACATTTGAACTATCTCACCCATTACCAAGATAGTTTCCCCAATTATCACCTCTAATACCATTAATTCACAAACATCCCACTCTCCCTACCTCTAATATCATCAATTAACAGACACTTACCTTCCTTCCCCCCCCCCCCCACCGCATCCCCCTCCTGTTCTGCAATGTGATTTGTCCTTTCTGTTCTGAAATGTGATTTGTCCTTTTCATATGTGTTCACTTTTTTTTTAATTGTATCCTTTGGTATATATGGTTGTGACTACTTTCTTCCACTATTTGATCTGAGGAAGTGGGTCTGGCCCACGAAAGCTCATCATCTAATAAACCATCTTGTTAGTCTTTAAAGTGCTACATTGTCCTGCATTTTGCTTCAGCTACCCCAGACTAACACGGCTACATCTCTATCACTATATAACCTGTCCAGTGAGAACAAGAAATTCCTGATGTGGAGTCAAGTGAAACTGTAAAACAGTTTCTCCTTTGTCCTAAAGAAGGAGCAGTCTGTCTTCCTTTAATCAATGCTTGAAAATATCATAAATCACAGTTGGAGCAATTCAATAAATGGAGGCTCCCAGGCAAGGCCAGAAACTTTATGTTGTGTTTAGTATCAAAGGACAACTGTTAACCTGCCTATGATAAAGGTGGCAATAGCCATCCTAATTTTCATTTAAGGAGTCTACTGATAGCCAAATAATGATCCTTAGAAGAATCTGAAATGTTTAATGCAGTCCTTTCATGTAGCTAATTATGATCACTTCCTCTAAGGGGCTCAAATCTAGCCTATTCTTTTAATCTGGGTTAAAGTATAGTCTTCACTTGTGAACAATTCAGTTTGGAATTAATGTTTAAAAAAAACAAAAACCAAAACCACAGTAATGGTTTCTTCTCTACAGTGTAATGCAATTTTGCAGTATGAAATTTATCTTTTTGTAAAATGTTTGTTTTAGTAACAATAAAATGCTAATGATAGAATCGGATTTGCTAAAATGAATTAAAACAAATTATATAAATATTCAGTGGATTGACTTATTCACTGAGAGAAAAATAACTTTTGCTGCCTTATTTTTTAGGAATTAACAGTGCTTGGAAAGCCTAAAAGACCTCGTACTAGCTTTAACATTTTTATGTCTGAACACTTCCAAGAAGCTAAGGGAATTTCAGTTCAGGTAAACTAGACAAAATTGGTTTAGATTTTTTCATTGTTTAAAACAACTATCTTCCAAAATGTATTGCGTTTAGAAAACTTGTTTTAGCTTCTCTTATAGGTAACTGTTCAAACGGTTCAATGTTTTTGGATCTTCCTCTGCTGGCCAGAACTGGGAAGTTGAATGGCATGGTTGAACGCTTGCTGCTAATTGCTCCCTATCCAAACCAAGCCACTCAGTGGATATGTGGACTTAATAATTAGGAAGTCTTGCAGTATTGTACATGCTCTGAAGGCTTACATAGTAACTGGAGAATTCTATCTTTCCCTGTTTTTTTCCTTAGGCCTAAATACACGGTTGCATTGCTTTAATGAAGACCTTGTCTGCACAAGAAGTTTGTACCAATTGAACTTCTGGACTATGGCTACACTGTAGCCTTCTTTCGGAAAAGCTTATGCAAATGAAGCATGGCGTGAAATGTTGCCATGCTTAATTTGCATAATAAATTCACAGCAGCTTTTGGGCAAGAGGCTTTTGTGCAAAAAGGAGCTGTGTAGACTGCTCCTTTTTACACAAAAACCCCCTCTTGCGCAAGAGCCATTCTTCCTAAATTTTTCAGGAAGAATGGCTGTTGCAGAAAAGCCTCTTGCATAAAAGGAGTTAATTATGCAAATGAAGCGTGGCAATATTCCACGCCTCATCTGCATAAGCTTTTCCGGAAGAAAGCTACAGTGTAGCCGTAGCCCTGGTGTGAATTTAAACTGGATTACACTATTAAAAACCGTTGTGTGGACATGGTGACTGGTTTACCTGTGGCTTGTTTCGGATTGGCTGTTAACTAATTTTGCTTTAGGGGATCTTTTAGCTTTTATAGGCCATCCTCGCTATAAGTCCAAGATATAATGAAACAACTTAAAGTGTGGGATGCCCCCCCCCCCAGCTGACTTCCATTTGCACACATTTTTTTTGTGCGACTTAGAGTGAGGAATGTAAGGACTTAAAATGCATGTTCTTACAAGTGTTAACCATTTTAGATGTATACCGGGTGGGTGACTTGTAGCAGGGTTGCCCTGTATATCCTTGAGAATCTTATGATCCAGATTTTTTTACATGAGTTTAAGAAAGTTTGTAAAATTTTTATCCAGTGACTTCTTCAAAAATTTACATATGTTCAATTCTTTTGTAGGCAAAAATGAAGAGTTTATTTGAAGAATGGCAAAATCTATCCAGTTCTCAAAAGCAGGTTTGTGTCTAGCTTTTGGTCAGACTCCAGTCCAGCTGTTATCCAACTACAGAATGACAGTTTAGTCATTCTGACTCCAGGACTCTTTTGTAAATTCTAGTTACACCAGCCCAGTATTATAGTGAAGAAGGCACTTCAACAAAAGGATTTTATATTAATTTATTTTACAAATTCTTAAAACCAATTACACGTCAAGCTAAAACATCTCATATTGATTATTAATGCAATAGTGACCACTTTTTTAAAATACTGATACAATTTTAGTAAGTGGTGGAATGGGTGATTGTCATTGGGGATGAATATTAATTCCTGAGTATCAAAGGGAACAAAAATTATCAGTTAAATTTTTTCCAAATTATCATCTTGCTTTCATAAATGAAATTAGATCTTTTTAAAAACGTCAAACTACTAATTGATTTAGTTTTCTTGGGGAATGAGTCCATTTGATAGACATTTTTAAAATAACACTCTTATATGCATGGGAAAAATCTTACTATTTGTGGCTTTTTTGCTGTCTTTACCAGTGCACTGAGGTATAATGTTCAAGTTCTGTATATAAGAATATTTGGCACATTCCACATAAAATAGTATAAAAACTCAATTTGCCTTTCTTAATCTTGCCTTTTTTAAACCTGGCTTTCCTTCTCTTAAACTTTCTCTGTCCAAATGATGTTTGTTTGAATGTGTATTTAGAGCACACAGCTATTTTACATTTCACATTCTCTCTACAGAGAGAATCAAATTTGAAATTGTGCAGAAATGTTTGTTTTTTTTCTTTCCAGCTTTAATCCTTATGTACTCCAGCTTCATCAAACTTGCACTCCAATGCAAAATCTTAGTGACCTCAGAAATGGTAAGGCAGAATCATTTCCCAAATGCATGGAATGTGACAATCAAATGTGGTGGGATAATTGATATAAAAGACGGACCTTACTGTTAAGATTTTGTATTAAAGTGCAAGTTTTGAAGTTGAGGTTATGTATTGCTTTGTGATATTTGTTGAAAATAAAAGCTTTATGGAATATTGGAGTATGTTATTGTATCAGTAGTCAAATGGAAGAGAAATGCACAAATCTTTTCTTTCCATTAAGTTTCGGATGGATCGAATTTGTACTGTTGTAACCTTAATTGCTCCTAAACGTGGCATTTCTTCGCTAATATTTACT